CTGTCTTTCCATCCATCCATCCATGTATCTGTCTATGTATCTATCTATCCATCCATCCTCTATTTGTCTGTCTGTCTCTCCATCCATCCTTCTATCTGTTTATCTATCCATCCATCCATGTATCTACCTATGTATCTATCCATCCATCCTTCTGTATGTCTGATTGTCTGTCTGTCTGTCTGTCTACCTACCTATCCATCCATCCTCTATATGTCTGTGTCTGTCTGTCTACCTATCTATCCATCCATCCTTCTATATGTCTGTCTGTGTATCTATCTACCTACCTATCTCTCTATCCACCCTTCTATATGTCTGTCTATCTATCTGTCTATCTATCTCCCATCTCCCCAGTAAATCGTTCACACATGATACCCTCAGTGATTCCGCCATTGTTCTCATTCTTCAGGTGAAAACGCACCTGATGCAGTCACCATCTACCTGAGGAAGGGGACACAGCCATAGGAGATGGAGCTGAGACGTGGCCTCACCTACCCTTTTCATTAAAGGTGTGTGATTCACAATCACACTTACATTTGACCTGCTCCAGGGTCGTGGTGACCCGTATTCATTTGTGTACACAGCTATGTTCAGTTTTGTTATTGTTCTGTAGAATATCTTGCAGTAATTCAGTCAGCATTATAAATAAATACCCCCTGGGTATTTAATCTTATTCCACCTTACTGTTACTGTTCAGAGTCCCTGGAATACATCTTTGAACCCAGTGTTTTGAGTGTGTGAAAGAGGTCTCTCGGATAGGGGACAGAAGGTGACTTTCACTGTGTGAGCTTCTCAATCACAAGGATTCCAAGGGAGTGAGAATTTACAATACAGTCGGCTTCTAGAGAAGCCCATGGGAGCCCATATCAGTGCCCTGCTACCTTTGACCAGCGCTTATGGTTGGTCATGGCTAAATTGGGTTCTTTGTTTTACTGTTGATGTAATAATCAGTTACTATCTGATTACTGTTAAGCTATTGGACCTATTCCGGAGGTAGTTTAAACACATCTCACTTAATGTTCTCACCCCGCCCCCAGGAGATAGGACTCAAAGGGATCCGTTTTACCGTGGGAAGCAGCCCAGGCACCAGAGCCCTGTTTCCATGGCAGGTAGAGGTAAGTAAGGAAATGCCATACAGCGGTTCTCATTGCTTCAAATTATCTTTGCATGAAATACGTCTTGATACTTCACAAAGAGAGTGCATTGCTCAAATCCAGATGTTTTATGGGAGAGTGATGGAAATATTTGTATGGCTGAATTCTAAGTCTGAATTTGAAGCATTTCCTTCGCTCAAATGTTTGAGGACTTTTTAAAATTTAACTTTATTATTTTATTGAACTGCAGTTAATGTACAATATTATATAAGTCACAGGTTGTACAATGTAGTCATTCACCATTTTTCAAGGTTATACTCCATTTATAGTTATTGTAGAATGGTGGGTATATTCCCTGTGCCGTACAATATATCCCTGTAGCTTATTTTCTACATCATAGTTTGTACCTCTTAATCCCCTCCCTCTATCCTGCCCCTTCCCCCCTTCCCTCTCCTCACTGGGAACCACTAGTTTATTCTCTGTATCTGTGAGTCTGCTTCTGTTTCTGTTTTATTCACTAATACTAGTTGTATTTTTTAGATTCCACATATAAGTGATATCATACAGTATTTGTCTCTGTCTGTCTTATTTCACTTAGCGTGATGTGGAGAGAACTTTCATTTATAGGGACGATATCAGCTGTACTGAGGGACGCTCACCACCCAGTCTGCCATGAGCCCCCATGACAGATGTATAACCATCCTGTTTCCATGGCCAGTTATTAGGGTTTATGCATCGGCCCTTACCCAGGCACAGATAATGTGGATTTTTCCATGCCTTTGCCAGACGATACGACGTTAAAAGCCATTCATTTGGGTCAAGCAACCACCTGAAAGAGGCGATGTTTGCGGAGGTCGGCTTGAAGGACCATGGCTCGTAGATAGCATAGGTGTTACTGGACCACCCCAAAGCTGAGTTCCTAGACCACTGCTGTTGTAGTTCTCCACAGAATTGCTACCTCTGCACAGCACTTTGTTAGTACGCACTGGGTGTTAAAATGAAAATATTTGTAGCAGAGTGCATTTCCAAATTATGTCACTGTGTTCCCTGTGGGGGAACTATTGAAAACATTTTGGGGATTAATGACTCAGAGATATGACTGGAACAGATTTTCTTCCCAAGGAGAATTGTTGGGAAATGGTTATTCACAGAACAGAAGAGGTATCACTTTTTCCTTTGGCTGTCAAGAAGCTCAGAACTCAATTATTTTTAAAAATCTTGTCATTGTGGTGGACAGGGACATAAAGACATAGCAGGTGAAGGGGTTGAGGGAAGAGTACATTTTAAGATATTCTGTCTTCTGAGGGACAGGGATAAATTGGGAGATTGGGATTGACACATACACACTACTATATACAAAATAGACAACCAATAAGGACCCACTGTAGAGCACAGGGAACTCTACTCAGTACTCTATAATGACCTATATGGGGAAAGACTCTGGAAAAGAAAAGATACATGTGTACGTATAAGTGATCCACTTTGCGGTACACCTGAAACTGACAGAACATTGTAAATCAACTACACGCCAACAAACCGTTTAAAAATAAATAAATACATACTCTGCCTTCTAAAATCTTTGTGATGGTCAGATTAAATTTATATTTGTTTGGAGAATTGCAGACATATACAAAAGCAGGGAGAAGAGTCTATTGTATCCCTCGTATACCCATTGCACTGAGCGATTACCACCCCCTGGGTAATCTTGCTGAACCTATAGCCGCACCCACTCCCCTCCTTGGACCTCCAGACTCTCCTTGAGGCTAGTCACAGGCGTCAGACAATTGCATTCAATTATTTAATGTTATCTCATTTTGTCCTACATATTCTTAAGCAATAGACACAGTACATGTAAGGCATGTGGTGGGGAGGCAGGCAGACACATGCGTATTTGCACAAACTCACGTGTTTTTCCCATGAGTCACTCAACTTCTGCAGCCGTGCTTGGGTTTGCACTCACTCTCAGCCTTGGAAACTGGCCCAAGACCATCCCTTGCTGGTGAGAGGGTGTCCAGTTGCCAGGTCTGTATGGTGTTGATGGCTCTTACCCGAAATTGTTCCTTTCCTTGGACCCCAATGGCATCTTCCAGAGTGGAAAGATGCAATATAAAAATAAAAGTATATCTCCCGTTGGAGGAAACCAATAATTCTTTTCTTCCCTCACCCTCTCGTATCTGGAATCACTACCAAGGGCTGCATTTACCAAGGAGACAATGCTGTCATCCTCGGGATTCTGGGAGGAGAACCCATCCTGTCCTAGCATGGGATGACACTACACATGTGCCACCTGCTAAGATCAAGAGGTGACGTGAGTCCAGTGCTTCTCAGTACTTCTCCCCTCGTCTGGGAGCCGAGAAGCCCAAAAGCCAGAGAGACGACACTCGCTCTCGATCTTTTCTTTTCTTCAAAACGCCATGACCGCTTCCATGATCCCGCCTGCCTTCATCCTTTCAGCTCGCTTCTCGGAGTCGTTTCCACATAAACCACCACCTAATGCACTATGAAATCACCCACGACGCCGTTCTCTGGAATGCGCTTCGGGGTAACAGCTGCCGTTGGGTTTCTGCTCTTGCGAAACTGGTCCTTATGGTAATCCATTTAGCAATTCTGATTATCTCAGTTTGTGGGAGCTTGGCAAGGAGCTGACATGGCCTGGCTGCTTTGCAGAAGGAGAGATAATGGACTGAGTTTTCCAGAAGGAGATGACTCAGTGCCTTGAAAGCTGTGCGGAGCAGGGCTGTGCGGGGCTCGTTAGAGGGGAAATGGGATCTCTTTCGGGACACACCCATTACTGGCGACAGCTGGGGCTGTCAAGGGTGGCGTGGGCCTTACAGACAAGGTGTCCTCAAAGGTGGAAAACCCTCAGAAAAGCATCGGGAGATGATGTCTGCGGAATCTTCCATAGGAGACTTCTGCAGAATAAGGTGTCATCCCAACATCACAGCGACGGCACAGCTAATGGTGTCTTAAGGTTTTTGCTTGGCTTCTCCTCAAAGAGGTAGAGCGCGACTTGGCACCCGTGGTCTGTACAGAGCCAGGGAGGAACCATTGGGGGCTTTCTCGGCCCTACGCGTCGTCTCGACTACTCAGCTCGGCCTTGCAACGGGTACACAGATACCCGCGGTGCCTGAACGGATGCTCCTGGTTGTGTTCCAATAAAGCTTTATTGATTTGAACGTCACATAATTTTCAAGTCTCACAGAATATTGACTTTTTTCATTTCTTTAGACTTTTTCCCCCAACCATTTAAAAAGTACATACTTATTCTTAGCTCGTCCACAGAAACAGGCAGCTGGCGCGATTTGCCGGGTTATTTGTTGGGTTATTAATCTACGGGTTATTGTTCTCCATCTGCTAGTATAGATGACCTGTTTTAGCATTCTGCAGGGAAACAGAACCCATCGGATATCTATCTGCATGTATATATGTATATCTATATCACCTGTCTATCTAGTCTGTATGTCTGTCTATCATCTATCCATCTCAGTCTGTCTAGTATCTGTCTAATCCAATCCTCTGTCAATCATCTATTGGCCTATCTGTCTGTCATCTGTCTACTTATCGTGGATCCTAGCTAGCTATCCATCTATCTATCTATTTAGCTGTGGACCTCTATCTCTGTCTGTTATCTATCAATATCTATTCATCTGTGTATGTCTGTATCTGTCATCTCTCTACTTATCTATTATCTATGTATCTATCTATCTACAGAGAGAGAGAGAAAATTGTTCCCGAGTAATTGGCTCCCATGATAATGGAAGTCCCACCGTCTGCCATCTACAAGCTGAAAACCCCTTCCTACCTGCTCACCTGCAGAAGAGAGAACTGAAAGTGACTGATCCGTGTCCCAGGATACTTCGCAGCTGGGGTTGTCCCCTGAGCCAGATTCCTCCAGGTGTATCCAGCGTCATTGCAGGAGTCCCAGAGATGCGCTAGAAAGGCTCACCGTGAAGTACACATCTCCTGGCTAGCACCGTGCGGTGGGGTCCTCCAGAGATGCTGGGGCAGGGTCCGCTCTCCAGCCTTGGTGTCGCGGAGACTGCAGAGGGGTGACAGTGTGCTGCTTCCACGCAGAGGTCCGAGGGGCTCTGGGTGGAGCCTGGTCCTGTCGCTCCTGTCTGTGGGCCATCCAGCCTGGTCCTCCAGTACCCCAGACGTTGTTCTAAAAGCAGAACCTTTGAAGCTGTAAGTGCTTCTATGTGTGGAGGCTGATAGATTTAGGGAGGTGAAGAGGCTTGAGAAGCTGGTGGCTAACGGTGGTGCCGTTAATACAATGAATCACAAGGCAATTCGCCCATTCAGTCTGCTTCCGCTGCTGGTACAGCTACTGTGGTCCATGGCCTTGCAGACAAGGAAGGGGGCAGATGGAGAAAACACATGCTGATTCTGCCCTCGTAATGTCCAAACAAGGACTTGCTTTTATCTGTCTGCAACTGGACTTAATTAGAACGTTAGATTGGTGAGCTGAAATCACCTGCTGGAGTTGGGTCAGACCATCAGACATGCCTGCGTTAAGTGGCTTTGTTTAAATACAGCCTGCGATGGATAATTTTATCTGTCGACTTGGCCAGGCCACAGGGACCAGTCGAACGGTTTAGATGTTTCTGGGAAGATACTTTATACCTGGAATGAACCTGTGCATCAGTAGCCTTTGAGTAAAGCAGGTGACCTGCTGTAATGTGGGTGGGCCTTATCTAATCAGGTGAAGAACATAAGAGAAAAAGGAATTTGAGGTCCTCCAGAGAAGAAGGAATTCTGCCTGAGTTTCCAGCTTGCTGCCCTGATGACACTTGGACGTACGACTGAAACATCAACTCTTACTGAATTTCCAGGCTGCTGGCCTGCCCTGGGGATTTTGGACTTGCCAGCCCTAAAATCATGTGAGCCAATTCCTTAAAATAACTTCTGTCCCTCTCCTGATAGATAGATAGATAGATAGATAGATAGATAGATAGATAGATAGATAGATGTGACGGATGTACCCAGTGGTACATTTGTAAAATTAAAATGGATGTATGAACCCATTGACACGTTGTCACCCCAAGTCTGTAGTTTACATTAGGGTTCACTCCTGGTCTTGTACATTCTGTGGCTTTGGGCAAGTGTATAATGACACGTATCCATCATTTTATCATCATACAGAGTAGTTTCACTGCCCTAAAAAATCTTCTGTGCTCTGTCTGTTCATTCCCCTTTTTCCCCTAGACCCTGGCAACCACTGATCTTTTTTTCTGTCTCCATATTTTGTCTCTTTTTTTTATCATGTCATAGAGCTGGAATCACACAGTAGGTAGTCTTTTCAGATTAGCTTCTTTCGTTTAGTCATATGCGTTTAAGTTTCCTTTCCCAGGTCCTTTTTTTTTCTCTTCTGTACTTATTTTTTTAATATTTATTTTTTTATTGGGGTACAGTTGCTTTACAATGTTGTGCTAGGTCCTGCTGCACAGCAAAGTGGCCCCACTGTAGGTATGTATACACGTGTCCCCTCCCTTTTGGATTTCCCTCCCATCCAGGTCATCACAGAGGACCGAGTAGAGTTCCCTGTGCTATACAGCAGGTTCTCACTAGATATGTATTTCATACCCAGCGGCGTATATAGAGTTCAGAAAAAAAATTGTCTATGTGCCTATTTATAGTAATATCTATAAGCCTTTCAGGATCCATCAGGGGGATTTCTCTTTCCCCAGCATCACCTCCCCCTCTGCTGTCATCAACTGACAATCACTTTTCTGGTTGTATTCCTCACCAGTCATTTATTCCAGATGTGGCAGCTGGGCAGGCATGCACGTGGACCACTATCTCTGTACATTTGTCATCCATAAACACTCACTTCATTCTACAACCATTTCTTAATGTCTAGCCTCTTCACAGAACACATAGGAGTGAGGACTCACCCGATTTACCATTTTGGAAATGGTCTATAAATGTTAGAATGTGTCCTGCCGACATCCATCCTGCTATGCGCAGCTCACAAAAACCCATCCCCTCTTCCAGGATCCTGCCTAGACTCGCCCCGCCGGCATACATCGCTTCTCTGGGCCTCCACGGTACCCAGGGGGACCCGCCCCCAACCCCCAGTGGACTGCAGCGATGCCCACGGGCAATGAGCCAACCCAGTGAGGCATGAGGAAGATTGGAACCATCTGGAGAGGAAATCTCCATGAGTCTCTCTCTCTTGTGTTTTTTTTTTTTTTTTAATTTTTATGGGAGTAGAGTTGCTTTACCATACTGTGTTAGTTTCTGCTGTACAGCAAAGTGAATCAGCTCTACGTACACGTATATCCCCTCTTTTTTGGATCCCCTTCCCATTTAAGTTACCACACAGCGGTGAGTAGAGTTCCCTGTGCTACACAGTAGGTTCTCATTCGTGATCTATTTTATACATAGTGCCAATGGCGGATATATGGGAGGTTGGGGTTGACATATATACTCTGTGATTCTCTCTAAATAGCCTGGGTTCGGAAGAAATGGAAGCTTGGCTAGCGGGTGGCAGGACCCCCGTGGTAGCATGGCCGTGGGGTATGCAGACTGGACAGCCAACACCTGTAGGCATCTGATGACACCTACAGTGGATACATCAAACAGGGTGGGTTGTCCACGGCTTAGACGGCTCCTTCTACCAGAAGCTCCCAGGCGTGTCTGATTGGAGCTGAATCATGACAAGCCAGAGTTGAACTTGCTGGGATAAGAGCCTGGAACCAGACATCACTGTCTCTGTGGAGATCTAGGGGAGCAGCAGGGACCACCCTCCTTGGCCACTAGTTCTGGCATCATGGAACCCAACTTGTCTTCTGAGAACAGATGGGCTCCATGGGGAACAGGTGAACCACTGAGAAATGCATGAAAGATTCTCACAGCCTTTGACAAAGGATAAATCCAGGATGAAGATGGTGGTCGACCTCTCTCTAAAAGAGAACGCCCGACCTGGGCACATTACCTTATTTGTGGTGTTTTCCACCTTCTGATCATTTAGAGCAGCTCGGGGATAGGATGGCTTTGTTCTAATCATTTGAGAACTTGGGCTTACACTCTCCACCCCCCGACCCCGTTCTAAAAAAAAAAAATCCTCCAAATCTCTTCTTACCCTCCAGTTTTCCCCTTCTGAGAATGGTCCCACTGTAGTTGAACCTTGAACCACGTGGAGGTTCAGAGCACCAAAAATTTGAGTATAACTTAGAGTCAGCACTCGGTGTCCATGGTTCCTCCATATACAAGGGTTCATCTAGCTTTGGATCGTGTGGTACTGTCGTACATACTTAGTGGAAAAAATGTGCTTGGAAGTGGACCCACGCCGTCCAAACCTGTGTTGCCCAAGGGTCAGCTGTATATATACATAATGATTCAAGTCAAAATCTGCAAGTGGGTGCTCTAACGTGGTGTTCTCAGACTTTAACATGTGAGTCTGACATGATAGGTCCGAGGCGAGACTTGAGAACATCCGTTCATGGCTGGCACCCAGGTGATGCAGATGCCGGTGGCCCATGTGTTGAGCGGGAAGGGTCTAGAGACGTATCCCAGTGGCCCAACATAGTAGCCAGTAGTCATCCCTGCCTAACTAAATGTAAATGATTTAAAATAAAAGACAACTTCAAACCTTACTTCCTTGGTCATACGAGCCACGTTTCAAGCAAGTGCTGGGTAGCCGCCATGTTGGATGACACAGCGTAGAACGTTATTCCAGCACTGCAGAAACTTCTGCAGGACTGTGTTCGTCTAGAGGCTGGCTATCACCCAGGAACATCTAGTTACAATAAGGCTAATGGGTTTTTAACCTTTGGAATTTTTTTTTGATTTGAAGATGTGAAGGGGTATGAGTGAATACCCACATAAAATTCTGTATAGCAGCGTAAAGCCCTTCCTAATCAGGGCACAAATATACGTCCCTCAGAACATGGGGCTCCCTAGATATTCTAAAAAGCCCTGATATTGAAGAGCTAAATCCTGAAAAATGTCCCAAATGTCTAAATATGTCTGTTACACATACTCCTGTACCCCCCATGCAGGGTAGCTGTAGAAGTCTACAGCTATTTATTTACACGTATCTGCATAGTCTCATCTTTTCTTACAATTATTTTACATTCTCTAGGTGAGCGAAAGACAAGAAGATTCGGGCTTCCCGGAAGCGGAATCACGCAGGTGAGTAAACAGCTGAAAAGTCAACCAATCGCGTTTGAAAATGAGAAACTCACGCTGGCCGCGCTGTCACTGGAGATGCGGGAGGCTGATCCCGTTGAGACGTCGGGGGCTGTGTTGCTGAGAGTAACGCGAACTGCCTTGACAAAGACCCCGGAGAATTTCGTAGACTTAACGCAGCCACAGTTTGTTTATTTTAAAGGACTCGTCCTTTGCAGGTGTTCCTACTTGAGGCGATTTCTTCCCGGCGATGAGTGAGAGATCCAGGTTCCTGGCCAAAGTGGTCCTCTGCCATCATCAACACCTGCCTCCCAAGGTACCCCAGTTTTCATTTGTTGGTTGGTTGCTGTTGGTGTTTTTTGTTGCCGTCGCTTCAGTGCCGCACGGCTGGAAGAGAGAAAACACGTACACACTTACCCATGGGAGGTTTCCGTGGTGTACATCCTTCGACTCACATTCCTTTAGCCAGAACTCAACCACACAGACACATCAAATGCTGAGACCAGCTGGGAGGCGATGCCAAGCTGAGAAGAGGGATAATTTGGTTTGGGATCAGTTAGTAGCCTCTGCCCATGGATAAAACCGTCCGTTGATGCGTACGCAAGCAGTGACAAGACTCATCCCTTGCTGCCGGGACTGTACGTTGGTACAGTCGCTTTGGAAATCCATTTAGTGCCATCTTGAGAAGCTGAAGGTGACTCAGAAGTTCCCCTCATTGGTAGAAACTCTAGAGAATGTCTTGCATGTGTGTCCGTGTATAAGCACGCTCTCAGGAGTAACGCCTCTCCTACCGCAACCTGCAGGCAACCCACGTGTCTGCTGGCAGGAGAGCCGATGTATAGAGTGTGAAGTGATCGACACTGGAATATTGTACAAAAGTGAAGCAAGCTGACTGAATACATAGGCAACGTCCTCATGCATTTTAGAAATGCACAGTTGAGAGAAAAGAGTACAGGAGACCAGACAGTGCGCTATCAGTGAATAAAGCACGCAGAGTGGAATACTAATATGTTGTCGAGAAATACAGAGACCTTCGGCAAAGTCGTTACTATTTTCGTATTGCGCATAAAATTTGGGAAAATACTTAACTCTGGGGGGAGTGGTTCTCGAGGAGCATTGAAAGGAAAGGGGATCCCAGAGAGTGATAACGATTCGGAAATGTTCCCGATGTTTGAAGCGGCTGGTGGATCCACGCTTGTTTTGTTCATTCCTTTGTCTGTCCGTTACCTTCACATCACTGCATATCTTCTTTTGAAGATCGCCAACAGTTCACACAAAAAATAAGTTCGTTTTGGGCGCAATAAACTAGTTTTAGCCAGTCCTGGGTGGCTTCCCACCCCCTGGTTAATTCCCCGTCGTTGAAAGGATCTTTTTGATTCACAGGTAGCTTCTCTACAACCGTCTTCTGCTGTCACCATCGTTTGCGGGGCTTATCGATCAAGAGGTGGTGACCCAACCCAAACTAGGTCCATACGATTGATCCCGGAGGGAGGAAGCTCCTGGAACCCTTTCAGATTCAGGGCAGAAAACAAGCAGACTTGGCTGTTTTGTCTTTAGTTTGTAGAGGATCTTTTCTGGAAGGTTCCAGTCTTTTTCATCCATGGCTGTTCTGCAGGGTTGTGATTTTGGTGTGTCCGTGAGGCGAGGTGACCTCGGGGTCTTTGCTCCGCCGTCTTTGCTGCTTGGCCCCCGACTGGGCTGTTTGGAGCCTGAACTCAATGCGTCTGCTTCCCATCGCTACGTCCTGCCACCCCGAGTCTCCTTGCCTCTCTCTTGAGGAGACTAAGGGTGTTCGAATAGATGACTTGGGGAAGACCCTGATACAGGGTGCCTTAGAAGCTTGTTCGGTTCCCAAAGATCAGTCCCTTACTGAGAGAGTTGCCCAGGAAGCCTGCAAGTCCCCGGCGCCCTGTGTCACCTCTGTCTCTGTCCGTGGCCCCATATCAGCAGCTATGTGTGTGTCTGCTGCACTGCAGGACCCATTGCCACATCTGCACCGTGGATGTTACCCTGCCCTGAATCTCATTTACAGCATCCCTCTGCGGCTTTCTGCCCTGAGAAATGCTCCCCTAACATCTCCCCCTGAGACACACATGCCTCTGCTTTTGGAATCAGCCCCAGAGATTCACCCCCTCCCTCCCTACTACTTCCCCAGCATCCCCGCAACAGAGCCAGGCACACTCCCTAGATGGTCTCTTTGCACTGTCTGTCATTTCATGATAGCCCTGGTCTCACTTCCCTACTCATCCCCCGTTTGCCCTGTGGTCTCTGAGCGATGTGAAGGTAGGGGGTGCAGCTTCTCATTTTTATCAGTCCTGCCCCAGCACCGTGCCTGCCCTCCGCCAGTTCCCACTGAGCATTTTCAAGAAATACCAAGGCATGAGAAGTGCAGCTCAGTGATGAACTGTGGATGCCGGTGCCTCAGTGAGCTCAAGGGTCCATGTCTTAGGTGGGATCCCCCAGAAAGCAGGGAGAAAGCAATGAGGCTGCGCTGGTCCAAGCAAGTGGCAGAGAGGGAACAGGGGCCGGGGCAGGGAAGCAGGGAGAGACAGCGCAAGGCAGGGTTACCACTTCTGGGTATGAGCCAGGCTGACCGCTCCATCTTAGGCACCCTCTTCCCAGTGGACAGAAGGAACTGACCCTCAAACAGAGGGAGGGAGAAGAAATTACCGGCTGGTAGATGCCTGTCTGCCGTTGTTCACAGACTCCAGCCTTCCACGTGGGGTCTTAGCCTGCATGTGCTTTTGGGTTGTAATATATCAGCTGGAAATGGAAATGAATATATGTTTGCATCTGTATACGCATATAGATCTATGTGTGTGAATTTGTGAATATATATATATATATTCCCCAGAGAACATATATTCAATATTAGATTTAAGATGGACATATTATATGTGATAATATATAAGGCATATATATGTAATATATATAACATATATATGTCATATATATAAGTATATATATTAACATACATAAAATAATATTATATATAATATTATTATTGCATATTTGATACATATATGTATAGCCCATTTGGGCTGTTATAACAAAGTACCACAGACCGGATGGTTTAGAAACAACAGACATTTATTCTTCCAGTTGTGGAGGGTGAGATTTCAAGATCTGCTGGCAGATCTGGTGTCTGCTGAGGGCCTGATTCCTGGTTCGTAGATGGACATCTTCTTGCTGTGGCCTCACACGGAGGAAGGGGTGAGAGAGCTCTCTGGGGTCTCTTATAAGGACACTAATCCCATCCACGGGGGCACTGCTCTCCTAACCTCATCACCTCTTCATACCATCACCTTGGGGGTTAGGGCTCCAACATACGGAGTTTGGAGAACAGAAACATGCAGACCCTAATGATGTATATATAAGGAGATTTGCTGTAGGGAAGTGGCTCATGGAGTTATGGAAACTGAGAAGCCACAAGATCTATAGTCAGCAAGGTGCAGGCTCAGAAGGGTTGATAGTGTCAACTCCACTCTGGGTCTGAAGGCGGAAGACAGATGTCCCTGTTTGAAGACAGTTAGACCGAGAGAAGTTCCTTCCTTTCTGTGGGAGAGTAGATCCTTTTGTTCTGCTCAGGCCTTCAGTCGACTGGATGAGGCCCACCCACGTGGTGAAGGGCAGCCTGCTTTATTCTGTCTCCTGATTCAAATGTTCACCTCATCCAACAAGGTCCTACTGTATATAGCCTGGGGAACTATATTCAATATCTTGTAATAAACCATAATGGAAAAGAATCTGAAAAAGAACACATATATATATATGTGGAACTGGATCACTTCGCTTTACACCTAAAACTAACACAACGTGGTAAATCAAAGGTACTTCAGTTTTTGAAAAATGTTAATCTCATCAAGAAACGCCCTCCCAGACACACCCAGAATCATGTCTCACCAAAATCATAATGTGTGTGTGTGTGTGTGTGTGTGTGTGTGTGTGTGTGTGTGTGTGTACATCTTAGGATGCATTCAGCACTGGGCCGAATGAAGGATGGAATTTTCGCTGGAACATATGGGCGCTGTAACAGTATTCTAAAGTCATTCTGAAACATCATTTGCAACGTCCAAATACAAATTAAGGGAAGGATCTGAAAAAGTAAAAGAGGGAACGTAGCCAGTTGGCCAGGCATACAGCTTTCAGACAGCTGTGATGCCACATAAAAATTCCAGTAACTCCAGAACGTTTCCATGTGTTCTGAGCTCCCCACTGCAGAGGAGAAGACACCCATCCGGTCACCCTGTTACGGTCACGGCATTTGAAGGGACTGGCTGCTGGCAGCCCTGCAGCTATGAGGTCTGCAGGGTGTTTCTTTCTCCCTTACATTCCTCTCTAGAAAATCTGTGTTCCCAGTTCATTTGAAGAATGCAGGGCATTATTTCATGCTTTGTTACAGAGGAGTAATATTCCACTGTATCTATAGACCACATCTTCTTTATCCATTCATACATGGATGGACACTTGGGTTGCTTCTCAGCCATAAAAAAGAGTGAAATCATGCCATTTGCAGCAACATGGGTGGACCTAGAGATGATCATACTAAGTGAAGTGAGTCAGAGAAAGACAAGTATCATATGATATCACTTATGTGTGGAATCTAAAAAAGTAATACAAAGCAACTTACTTACAAACCAGAAACAGACTCACAGACATAGAAAACAAACTTAGAGTTACCAAAGGGGCAAGTGGGGGGACAGATAAATTAGCAGTATGGGATTAAGCAGATACAAACCACTATACATAAAATAAACAACAAGGACCTACTATAGCACAGGGAACTATATTCAATATTTGTAATAACCTATAATGGAAGAGAGTATGAAAAAGAGTAGATATATGTTATATATAGGAATATATATGTAAGAATATATATTATATATAAGAATATATATATGTTTTATATATATATATATATATATATATATAAATGAATCACTTTGCTGTACACCTGAAACTAACACAACATTGTAAATCGACTCTACTCAATTAAAAAATAAAATAAGAAAAAACATTGCAGGGCAGGTTCAAACTCAGTTTAATTTTAAAATGACAAAGGCAACCACCCTGGGACGAAAGTGAATTCCTCACTTCTTTCCTCTGCATCAGAAACAAAACTTCCAGCCTCACAATCTGGTGCCACGACCTAAATGTGGAGAAGGATGTGGTCTCATTTTGTTTCATGAAGCAGCTGTTGGAACCGTCCCTCGCATCCCAGGCTTATTACGCTTTACCCAGAAGTTCTTTTCACTTTGGAAGGCGGACGGTGTGTAATTGTGTATAAAGTAATAAAAACGACCAGATAACCTGTTT